TCCACAACTGGACACCCGATTTTGGGACTAATGGATATTTGGATCAACTGGACTTTTTATGTGATCCCTGCGCCTATTCTTCGAATTAATGACGCCGTCTGTACCTGTATGCAGTGATGAAAGATTGAGCCGGCTACCACCAAGATCACCGAAGTAGTGGGAACCACTGGAAACACGCTCGCAAGCGAAAACCGTCGTCTGTGTACATGACGTCACGCACACGACGGCGTTCTCGCTTGTATGCGTGTTTCCAGTGGTTCCCACTACCTCGGTGCTCTCGGTGCTAGCCGGCTCGATCTTTCATCACTGCCTCTATGTGCACAATAAGGGCCTGAGCACAATAGAGAAAATATTAAAAATAAGAATTAGAAATAGAAGTTAAATGTACTATACAATGACAAAAAATAAAATATAACATATAAATACAGGAAGTATGTCCTGGTTATATGATATACAACTTATATACATTTAAATGTTATATTTTGTTTTTTCGCATTGTACAATTAAGCCCGTTCTACATTGATCGCAAGCGCAAACGCAAGGTATAGATCTCGTAGAATCGACCAATCACGCTGGTCAATTGGCTGATTTGATCAATACGATTAGTCAATTCTACGATACTGGGTTCAAATCGAGAAGAGAAACCGAATGAACAAAAACTCGTCCGTTTCGCGCTCCCTCTCCTACTAAAAAGTTTCCTTACTCCACAGCCATTGGCTGTCAGCAAGTGTTCCACCAATCCCGCACGCAACGTTACCTCTACTAAATCAAAAGGCCGATACGAGCAGTAAAATACAGGTTGGTCGTGTATAATAAGTTGTCTTTATTCAATAAATAGACGTTTCGGTCACACAATTTTGGACCTTCTTCAGTATGAAAAAATTAAGTCTAGCTGACATTGTTATGCAAGACTTGGAGAAGTTTATATTGAAAAAATTAAAATTTAAGCCCTCATTTTATTTTAAATATGTTGACGATATTATTCTGACAGCACCTGCGGATGGTTTAACTTTATTATTAGATACGTTCAATAATTATAATAAGAAATTGCAATTCACAATAGAAGTCCAAAATAATGATTTTTTAAGTTTTTTAGAGGTCAAGATCTTAAATTTTCATGGTAAATTAAGTTTTGATTGATACCATAAACATACTTTTTCGGGTAGATACTTGAATTTTTATTCGGCCCATCCTCAATCACAAAAAATTTGTACAGTTTTGAATATGGTTGATAGAATTTTATTATTATCTGACCCTTGCTTCCAACAGAATAATTTTAAATTTATGATTGAGGTGCTCCTTATGAATAATTATCCTTTACAATTTATATTTAGGATTATCAGGAATAGAATTAAATTTTTAATTCATAACAGATTAAATTTAAACATTGACAATAAATTTGCCTGTCATTCTGATCTTGAAACTGTTAAAAAATATTTTGTTGTTCCTTATCTTCCTGATTTGTCTGACTCTTTTTCAAGATTTTTTAAAACAACTAAGGAGATTTCTTTGGCGTTTCGAAGTTTAAATAAATTGAGTAAATTCATAAAAGTTAGAAAGGATAGGTTAACTCATGATCAAAATAAAGATGTGGTGTATCAAATTAATTGTAATAATTGTAATATATCTTATGTTGGACAAACGAAGCGTAAATTAAAAACAAGAGTTAGCGAACATAGAAATCAGATTAATAGAAATTCTGATTTTGTTTCTGTGGTTACGGAGCATCGTTTGGAGACTGGACATGACTTCATTTGGAACGACGTTAAAATCTTAGATATGGAAAAATTTTTTTATAAGGGATCAGTTTCAGAAATGCTCCACATCAAGTTNCAAGACAATCCGATAAATGTAATGTCGGACACTGACAAGCTAAAACCTTACTTTCCCTTTTTAGAATTGTATAGATCAAAAGTTTAGACCGTTACTTTTGTACTTATTTTGTAAACATGTTTTTCGATTTATTGGGAACCTTTTGATCTTCTGATTTAATAGTGGGGATATCTATATATATTTGGCTGTTTTATGTTTTCTTGCCAGTACACATTATATTGTTGTAAGTTATTGACATTATTTCATCTATCTGTTAGTGATGTAGTGTACTAAAATGTTTTTTCTTAATTAAGTGAGTTTTATATATTATTTTCAATTTACTATGATGTTTGATTTGCGCTTATTTTATTGATTGTTATTTCTTTTATTTTTTCTTGTTAGACTTAATTTTTTCATACTGAAGAAGGTCTAAAATTGTGTGACCGAAACGTCTATTTATTGAATAAAGACAACTTATTATACACGACCAACCTGTATTTTACTGCTCGTATCGGACTTTTGATTTATTTGACTATTTCACGAGCGATTGATTGATTGTTACCTCTACTTTTCCCGCTTTTATTCTCCTATGCGCAGTAAAATTCACAGTAACAAAATTAATAAGTAAGAAAAGATTAAAGAAATACATAACAATAACAATCAGTACTACATTCATATCTCCATCAAAATGTAACTTATAATTTTTCCCTTTCTTTATGAGATTCTTTCCGTACTTAACTCTTTCATTACGTATAGACAAGATATTTTGTTCATGATATCACTTATGCGACGCTTTAGACGAATATCTCGCGTCACAACTTTCGTTATTCGAAAATGCTATAAACAAGATATCTCGTATACTTTAATTTGTCATCTGAAAATTTAGAATAAAGAATCAATTCAAGAACATTTTGTTGATATCTCGCCCGTATCACAGCAATAAAAATTGCGATGCGTGGTATCTCATTCATAGCGTCACTCAAGCGACATTGTGATGGCGAGATATATCTCGTTAACGAAAAAATTAATTAAATAAATAAGTAAACACACTCATTATCGACACATCTCAGTATTAGAATTATTTAGTTTGATTAGCAAAATATGCGAGTAATTGCTCGTAATTTGCTACTCAAAATGAAACATCCTAATGACAGAATCGCTTTTGCGTTCGGCCATCGTTATTTTCCATCTTCCATTATGTATATGATATAGATATAGTATATGCTGTTATGTTAGCTCCTCCCGTACTGTTGCTACGGGTAACAACTGCGAGCGCGCGAAGCGCGCCAGTAGTATGTGGCCACTTATGGCGCGTCAAAACAAACCCCCTCCACCTGGCCCCCCCACCACTTCTGGCGCCATTGCCCCACCATGGTGTTTCCCCCTCCCTTGGTGGTGATTGGCTACGCTCACTGGAGGGGATGGAGAAGTGACATGATTTATGACCCTTGAATTTTTTATAAATTTTTATAATTTTCTAACAATGTGTATTTAAATTTTTTTTTTGTTGAGGGATTTGTGTGGGAGGAAGATTCG